ATATATATATATATATATATATATATATATATATATATATATATATATATATATATATATATATATATATATATATACTAGGTGTTTTGTCCGCACTTGCGGGCATAATTCTCTTATGAATATTTATTAGTTGATGTTTCATTAATTTAAAAATTATCATAGTAAGTTATTATTTATGTTTCAAAAAGTAAAAATCAAACATCAAATAATTATCAATGACAAAGCTCAAACATAAGAAATATTTAAAAGAATATATTTCTTTAACTATTTTTCTTGATTTATATTTAATTATAATATTTATATCTTAATTCTAAATTTTATATTAGAAAAGCATATTTTCAAAATTACAATATAATGCATAAGTTATTTATTTTCTGAAATTATAATATGATAATTTTTTTTAAATTATATAATAATTATTTAAGATTATAGAAATTATGACATATAAGTAAAATTACCTAAAATAATTGAGAGCTTAATGAATCAGCAAATTCACTTCTTAAATAATTTTTCTTGAGTGATGATTTATATTTAATTAATAATAGATAATTTTCTATTTTACTTTTAAATTATATAATATAAAAATATATTTTCAGGATAACAACATAATACATGAGAATTACCATATTCTCTAAAAGTATAATATTATTATTGTAAATTTATTTCAATTATAGAATAACTACAACTTTTTATATCTTAATTTTAAATTTCTAATAGAAAAATATATTTTCAAGAAAGCAACTTAGTACATAAGAAGTATTTTATTTTCTAAGAATCTGATACTATTAATATAAATTTGTTTTAAATATAAAATAAATTATATATAAATTTATATAGATTAATAAATTATCAAAATTACCTAAAATCAAGAAAATATGACAAATCAACAAACATCAAATTCACTTCTTAAATAATATTATAGATTTTTTACATGTTAATTTTAAATTTTATAATATAAAAATATTTTTTCAAGATAACAGCATAATATATAAGAATTAAATTATTTTATAAAATATCATATTATAAATATAAATTATTTTTAACTGTAGAATCAATAATAAACAAAATTATGAAAATTCTGAAAAATTATCAAAATTACCTAGGATCATGGAGACAAATCAAAAAATTCACTTTTCAAATAATTGTTTTGATGATTTATATTTAATTATGAATTATATTTAATTATTAATAATATAATTTTATATCTTAATTTAAAGTTTTATAATAGGAAAATATATTTTCAACATAACAACATAATCCATAATGCTTATCTTATTTTCGAAAAATATTAGATTATTAATATAAATTTGTTTTAGATAAAAATAATAGTGTTTATATCTTAATTTTAAATATAATTTTTATATATAAAATATATTTCAAGATAACAATATAATTCCCAAGAATTGTCTTGTTTACTAAAAATATGATATATTAATAGAAATTCGTTTTTATTAAATAATAAATTTTATATGAAATTATTTAAATAAGGTAAATTAAAAAATTTACCTAAAATCAGGGAGATGTCGACAACTATAAAAATATATTTCAAGATAACAATATAATTCACAAGAATTATCTTATTTACTAAAATATGATATATTAATAGAAATTCGTTTTTATTAAATCATAAATTTTATATGAAATTATTTAAATAAGATAAATAAACAAATTTACCTAAAATCAAGGAGACGTTGACAACTATAAAAATATATTTCAAGATAACAGTATAATTCACAAGAATTAT